GGGGGGGGCCTGTGAATCCTGAATTACAGGGATGGACTATTGGGGAAAGGGCTTCCGAACTCTAATCACATGTGATGCCAAGTTAGGTGCACTATTGCTACACCACCCTTGATTCAGAAAAGCCCCAAAGGAAGGACCCCAAGCATGTGATGATGCCTCAGTCAACCCATAAATACCTTCCTGTTTTGAATTTCACTTGGGAGCCAAGGTGGCATACTCATACTCACGTGCATGGTGCAAAGTTTGGCGCTGGATGTGCTAATTGCGTCTGTGACTCTACCACATTCACCATTGTGTGTAGAAGGTTGAGGAATGTTTTGTCTTCTTTAGTATATTCTGTTGATGATGTAAAAATTAAAAGATTATATCAACCTGTAGCTAGACTTATGATTTATGACTCATGATTGGCTGCGCTGGGGATGTGTGTTTACATGTATACAAACACACATTACCCACCTGAAAACAGATGAGAACCACCTTCAATTAACTAATTGCAATTTTTACCTTTGAAATTTTTTCCTAAATTTTTCCTATCCTTTTCTGATGCATTGAAAAACTGCAAAATAAAAATAATAACTCCATGAGAATACTATTCTGTCAGAGGAAAGAGTCAGGTGGGTGAGGGGGTGAGGGTGGGGCCATCCTCCCCAAGTATTAGCAATAATGTCAATTCACCTTTTGGACGCTAGCCGTCACGTTTTATAAACTGTGTTGGATTGGGTTACAGTCACCAAGAAGTTCAGACATTGTTCTCAGATTTCTGTACAAATGTACTGACTTTAAATGAACTATTTACTTGGTTTGTTTAGTTAGTTCTCTAAATACAAGTAAAATATCATTTTTCTAGCTTGATCGAAGCTTTTCTTACTGCTGTTAAGATAGCTAACTAAACAAATCTATCTGAATTTTCTCTTTAAACTCAGTGAGTTTGTATGGTAATCTGAGAACGATGTCTGAACTTTTTGGCGACCGTAACACAATCCAACAAAGTGTTTACGACATGATGGCTATCACCAAAAAGGTGAATTAATAGGCGAGGGGTGGGATTACCCACTACCTACCAGTGTAAAAATGAAAATGAAAATAACATAAATGAATGTACTTTGTATTTTAAAAACAAAAAATGCATATGTGACTGTATAAAAATAGGAACTACAGACAGTACCCAGTATCAAGTATTTCAACAGGTATTTGAAAGGTGATATTTACTGGTCCCATTATTCTTCATCTGTATATGACAAGCTTTTCCAATAGCCCATTTTAGAAGCAAGCAAGAGACTCAGGGGCAAGTTTTGAATTTTTATCCAATAGGACGTTTGCATGATGACGTCATTGACCTCTACTCCCAGACTCCCTTGCACACTTTCTTTTAATCAGTTAATTAGCACCAACTGTCTTACTATTCTCATAAGGGAATATAAATTTAAATAAGAAAGAAAATCCACGAAGCATCTTAGTAGTCAAATGACGCCATCATGCAAACATCCTATTGGCAAAAATATACTGTCATTTGAAAAAGAATCTCAAGAATCACAATTACAGGCTTTCAAAAGTGTCAAAAATGTATAAAGAATGTATGGTTAGTAGGGACAAGTCTAAACTTGCCCCAGTGGTCTTTATAGATACATTTTTCATTGTTTCATGGAATCAAGACATATTTATTGAATACCATCTGTTTGTCATATACCAATAGTAATCCAGCATATCTATGGCAACCATGTCATACCTTAATAGTAGGATATTCATCTATATGAAAGTCACGACATGTTTGCATGTTTCTCTCCTCGGCACAATCCAAGGCTGCTACTTGTATTACAGATTGCCAATCTGAATGAAAAAAAAAAAAATGGATAGAAAATGAATGGGAAAAACGTAAACAACCTTTAATTTGATGCTAATGATATGCAAATTTTTATCTTTTCAAAAGTAACAAAATTATCAAAAACATTAGAATTGAGTAAAAACAGCCAAATATTTAAGGCCTCATAGTTTTGATCAATCATTTATTTCTACTAAGTCTGTTATATCTGATACTTTACAATACCATGTCCAATCAGAATGCGGGGTTTAACTGTTTACTGTTTTTTACTGTGTCTTATGCAAATAATACAGCACATGCTATGTTTATTCAGAAGTGAAAAACATTTGATAAGGAATCAGTTTTTTTTTCAGATAATTTTGATATTATATAGCACTTGACATACAAAATTACCAATGATGGTCATAAACAAACAAAAGTGATTTGTCTAATAATATGACATAATATATTTACAGTCAAACGGCTTAATTTATTATATTTACCCCCCAGCTTCAATAATGCTTAAATCATTATTTGAATATTGAAATTCATTATTCTTTCTGAGAATACCAAGACTCAGCATTTGAAATAATAACCAATTAACAACTCAAATTCTGACTAAATTAGGGTGTTCCTCATATGAAATGATCCAATCAGAATATTAGAGTTTTGAATCCGTATTATTTTGAATCTTGTGTCTTCGTATTTAAGGAAAGCATAATAAATTTCAATATTCAAATAATTAAATCATTAAATGGATCCTAGGGGGTATTAAGTTACCTTGAGCCATTTTGACTCTAACTACTGACAGCTGCCATCTAAGTCTGTTAGTTTTCTACATTAATATATCTATCTATCGACAACTCTATGATGATGATGATATTCAGGATGGATYTTATAAAAAAATAACTGACTTTGAATGCATGCTCTGGATGAAAATAATTGTTATTTTAGACCCAAATAATTTTTTATAACCTCGTGTTATTTTTTTCCCTATGCATGTTCTGAAATTGACCTTCTATAGAAAAAATGAAACAGTATTTTGCGATATTTTTTGTTATCTTAAATTAATACAATGCATATCATCTCTCCGATGATATTTTACATAACATCTGCTTGAAAGCATTAATAGAAAAGGAATATACTTCTATTAAAAGTAAGAGCTATTTGCATGTAGAATTTATTCTCAATACCAATAGACTGCAAAAAGGAAGACTCTTTTTATGTGGCCATGTAAAAATAATAAACTACTTAACTTTTTTTTTTGTATAGTTCAATACAAAGTTCTTAGCTTCCATAGTTTAATTAATTAAAGAGTCATGCCTGGTAATAATTCTTTAAATTCGTTTTCCTTCAGGCTTGAATTTTAGAGAAAAAATTTTTTCTTCTAATTTTCTGAAAACGTACCGGTAATTTTGGTAAAATTTGTTTGAAATGTATAAATCTAAACAGGAATCTGGTTCTATATTTTATATATATCTTGGTAACAGGATTGAATAAAAATATGTAAATGGGTGAAAAATGGAATAAGATAATGATAAAAACATTTTCTTTAAACGGAATATAATCAGAGAAAAAGAAAAGAAAGAGCAAAAAGAGTTTTTTAACGTGTCAAAATCAAATGGATAACAGACAGGTATTGTAATGGAAACGTGAGAAATGGCATGTCTTTTTATCCAAGTATTCACTTACAATATCTCATCTCCTAACAACCAAAAATAATTGCTGTTTACAATTCTGTCATTTTTAACTCCAGATCTTAATTCTCTACGAAATCTAAGAGCTTGGTTTCTTATTACGTAAATTTTGACTCCTTTTTGAGATTTTTTCAGAGATATTTTGGTAAAATATAATCGTGAATCATTGAGTATTTCATAATCAATATATATGAAGATTAACTCATTAGGAATCGAAACCCTACAATTTAAAACCAAAAATAAAATTATTACAACCTTGGTTTCATAGAAATGAGTAACGGAGGCCGTGATTTGAGAAAAAAATCTTAGATTTATCGAGGAAATYGTACTAAACTACAAAAGGGAAGGTGATAAATAAATAACAAGGTACCCGTTTGGAAAAGAAAAACGAAAAAGACAAGTTCAGTCCACAAAAGAAAAAAATTAGTACTCATTCTTTTACTTCCGAAGCCTAAGAATCACCCAAAAAACAATAGGAGGTATCCCCATTAGTTAGAATCTAAAGTAAAGTTAAAAGTGGTGTAAAATAAAAGTTATGAAGAGTCTTACCTCGGGCTACTTGTGCGAGTTTTTTCCATGTCGGAGCAAAAGCTTGGCAATGGCCGCACCAACTCGAATAAAACTCAACTATCCACGCTACAGGGCTATCATAAATGACACTATGAATTGTACTATTATCTAAGAGGATTATATCGTCGTGTACGGAGTATAAGCGAGCCTGGCACGGCTGTAAAATAAAGAAAATTGCTATAAAAAGTAACGCATATTGAAGAATACTAACTCCAGCCGCCATGTTTTGTGTTGACTGATAAGTATACCGCTGTCACTGGACCGGCTCTTCATGCAGCGCAGGTGACCAAAACGGCTTCGTCACAAGCTAAAAACAGCAAAATTTGCGACTATTTTTTCACACCAAAAGACTTTTCTTAAACAAAAGCAAGAAGCGCTATCATTTTGTAAAGACACTAGAGCGGGGTTTGGAGTGGTTTAGGAATTGGTGATTGATAAAGAATTTATTTTCTCATATTTCTTATGGAGTCATTGCTTGTGGATTTGGAGTGGATTCGAGATCAACCACTACCATAACTGGAAGTGATGAGGAAATAATTGTTGGAAAAGATTGATATGTCATTCTTTGTTTGAACATTTATTAATAACATGTATCATATGTCAGTTTATAAAAAATTACTTTCATTTTTTTCTTCTTTTTTTCCATCACATTTAAATTAAATTAAATCCAACAATAAATATATACATAGTGAATACATTCAATACACGCCGGCAAGTAAAATAGTCAGAGATCTGTCTCTGAAGGCTTGAATGCTCCGTCCAGCGCTTCCGTAAATTCCATAGCGAAGAAGACATCCATTTTCTAAAGATATAAAACGATAAAAGTATAAACAATTGAAACTGGTATTTGCACGTAAAGAAAGAAAGCGAGAACATGAAACAATACAAATCCCGTCTAGTCTTTTCTGGCCACAGTTGCACGGTTCTGTTAACGGTTTATTTTGAGCCGACGATGCGTTTAGGAGAGGACTGAACGAGTCATCTTGGTGTCTTTTTACGGTGCAATACACCTAAATCTACAAATAAATATAGAATGAAAAAGAGCAGCAAAAAGCAAAAAGCAATCAAGCAAAATATAGAATGTGTATACAGTGCACAGTCTTCGACGCAAGGACTACATCACCTTCTCTGTCGAGTAAACAAACATAAAATGAAAAGATATACAGTTATATGTATACAATCATTTCAATATAAGTTTGGGATGATGTAATTATCATTGCTGATGCAAACCTGTATCCAACGGTTTGACAAGCTTTTACTCTTTGGGCGAAACTTGTGCCTCATGCACACGTCACAGGTGCACATACAGGAGAAGAAAGCAGTCATGTAATGGATGGATGGATGCATCAGAATCAATCATTCGTTCACTCATTTACTCATTCATCCATCCATCCATTCATTCATCCATTCATTTCGTGAAACTTTCTATAGATCTCGCCAAGAAAGTTTTACGTGTCTATAGTGCCGATTTAACAAAAAAAAAAAMCCCAGCTTTTTCTTCATAGTGCTCTTATTAGTGAACGGAGCACGAAAAAAAGCTGTTTTATTGGTTTTATCATATAGTCACTAGTTCTATTTCGGTATTTACACGTAACCAAGAAAATATCAAGTATTATATTACTTCATATTCTCTTGATGTAACTTATTTACGAAAAACGAAAAACGGTCGCAGGATCTAGCAGCACTTTGAGCGCGAGGATGGCGCGCCATCACTGTGCTCCGTTAATTAATACACAGTTTTCGACCAATCCGCGCGTGCGTACTATCCTATAATAACAATAATATGCGTTACGAGGCGAACATTTAACATTCCATAAGCACACAATGCTCAACTCAAATGTTGTTGCTTTTTTTTTTTTTTTTTTTGCGGAGGGAGGAAAACAGGAGAAGCCGGTGAAGTCTTCCTGACAACGGATCGCAGAGAACCTGAAGATAGTCGAATCGGTGTCTGGGTGGAAGGCTCGAATTTTAACTTGGCGCAATTAATGTATTACACACGAACGAATCAATTACAAATTTCAGTTGTGACGCCGCGTATTTCCGGGTCCAACTGCTCACACAAAAAAACCCGGTAAATCGAAAAATATAATTTCCTCGATGATAGAAATAATAATAAGAAAAAAAACAACAATAAAATAACAATCGGAAAAGGCCGAACTCCCTTAACGGCGGACGGATTCTGTTACACAGAATGAATGCTGGTAAATTTCCAAATCCAAAACGCGTCTACGAATTTCCCGCCAAACTTCCGAGCATGCATGCATATGCAAGGTGCTTTTTTCACCCGTGTCACGCATTACATGACACATGTATATTTGACACACAACTGATCATAATGTCAACCCWGAGAAAATAAAGTGTTCGTTGTTACTGACCTATATCACACTTGGTACCACCAACACCAGCCTTACAAGGGCAGGCACCGTTATCATTGCACTGCAAACTCGTAGAAAAAACTGAGTTACAGTTACAAGGGTAGCAGCCACTTCCACTGGTGACGTTGAAGTAGTTCTGTATACACTGATCACATTGTTTACCAATGACGTTTGGTCTACACTCACATTGACCAGTTAATGGATGACAGGAWGAACGGATGGAGCCTTTGACGGGACATGAACACGCTGGAAGARAATATATGTATCAATATACGAGGGTATACATTATCTGGACGTTATTTATCGGTCAGGAGCATGCGGACATGCGCAAAATGGAATTCGAATAGACATATARCTCAATCTCGTATCCAAAGCCTTTATTTCCTACTGCGCATGCTCGACAAAATAAAAATGATGAATAAATATTAAATAATACGAAATACAGTCGAGCATGCGCAGTAAGAAATAAAGGCTCTGGGTACGAGATTGACATATAGCTAATATAGAACTAAGATATAAATATAGTCATCCGGACAATATCAGAGAATTAATAACAGATAAATAYAAACCCATTATCCAACTACATGCACTTAGTAGAGTACAGTTGTGCTTACCATTTACCAGGAAAAAAACAGAAACTCAGGGTTAAAAAAATATTATGTATCATTGCTATGGGAAAGTTACGGAAAACTCGGTCTTCAGATTAAGGTAATCCACTTTTCCCGCTCTTTTCGGTTCTTCCGGTAGACGCGTGTACCATTTTTCGAAAGCCAAAGTTTCCCGCTCTTTT